AGGGAAGCAAGGGCAAAAATGAACTATTGGGACCTCATCAAGATAAAAAGCTTTTGCACAGCGAAAGAAACTGTCAACAAAACCAAAAGACAACCGACAGAATGGGAGAAGATATTTGCAAATGACATATCAGATAAAGGGCTAGTATCCAAAATCTATAAAGAACTTCTGAAACTCAACACCCAAAGAACAAATGATCCAATCAAGAAATGGGCAGAAGACTTGAACAGACATTTCTGCAAAGAAGACATCCATTTCTTGATTGGATCATTTGTCTGCACTGCCCAAAGCAATCTACACATTTAATGCAATCCCTATCAAAATACCAACAGCATTTTTCACAGAACTAGAACAAACAATCCTAAAATTTGTATGGAACCACAAAAGACCCCCAGTAGCCAAAGCATCTTAAGAAAGAAAAGCAAAGCTGGAGGCACCACAATTCCAGACTTCAAGTTAATTTTACAAAGCTGTAGTAATCAAAAAGTATGGTACTGGCACAAAAACAAGACACACAGATCAGAAGAGAGAACCCAGAAATGAACCATTGACTATATGGTCAATTAATCTTTGACAAAGCAGGAAAGAATATGCAATGGGAAAAGGACAGTCTCTTTAACAAACGGTTTTGGGAAAACTGGACAGCACCATGCAAATAAATGAAACTGGACCACTTCCTTACACCACACACAAAAAGGATAAAAGACCCAAGTTTGAAACCTGAAAACATAAAAATCCTAGAAGGGAACACAGGCAGTAACCTCTTTAACATAAGCCATAGCAACTTTTTTCTAGATAGGTCTTTGGAGGCAAGGGAAACAAAAGAAAAATAAACTATTGGGACTACATCAAAATTACAAGCTTCTGCACAGTGAAGGAAACAATAAACAAAACTAAAGGCAACCTATGGAATGGGAGGAGATATTTGCAAATGATGTATCTGATGAAGGGAAAAAAAAAAACTGATTCAAAGGGATACATGCACCCCTATGTTTATAGCAGCATTATTTACAATAGCCAAGATACGGAAGCAGCCCAAATATTTAATGACTGATAAATGGATAAAGAAGATGTGGTCTATGTGTACACACACACACACACACGGGAATATTATTGAGCCCTAAGGAAGAATTAAATCTTGCCATTTGCAATGACATGGATGAAGGTAGAAAGTATAATGCTAAGCAAAATAAATCAGAGAAAGACAAATACCAAATGATTTCCCTCATATGTGGAATTTAAGAAAGAAAACAAATAGGAAAAGGAAAAAAAAATAAGAGAGACAAAGCAAGAAACAGACTCTTAATTACAGAGAACAATCTAATGGTTACCAGAGGGGATGGGGGAGCTGGGATGGGTTCCATAGGTGATGTGCATTAAGGAGTGCACTTGCCATGATAAGCACCAGGTGATGTATGGAACTGTTTGGTCACTATATTGTACACATGAAACTACAGCACTGTATGTTAACTGGAATTAAAGTCAAAACATAAAAAAAAGAAATACTGGAAATTCCCTTCTAGAAATATGGTAGCTAGACATTTGAAACCCTCTTACTATCAAGTACTTGAAAATATAGGATAAAATACTAAAGGCATCAGTACAAATACATAGCTATATAGCTGAATTTGCAGGAAAGTGCGAGATCCTCAAGGACTGAAAATGAAGTAGTAGTAATGAATGCAGAGCATTAAGTGGTCACTAAAACCAATGGTTACCCTGAATCTGAATCTGTTTTGGCAGAAACTTAGACCCTCAGAATTTAAGGACATCACACGGAGGGAAACAGAGTCAAGTCTTTGGTCTCACACAAATTAGAGGTGGGACAGAGTATACCCCGAGGAAACAAACCCAGAAACCCTAAAGGGAAATAAATATCTTTAGTTACAATACAGTCCCAAATCAACCAAACAATAACAAAAACCTACCCTGTAAAGGAAGTAACAAGTACATCTGACTTTGGCTTTGGGTCAAGGGGGAAAAACATCTCTCCTGAGAATTTGTCATCATAAGCTGGTCCTCAAAGTAGGTTAGGGTACAAATTTACACTAGCCTGATGGTCCAAAAAACATCCAGCCAATAAACTGAGAAGTGTCTGGAGTTGGAAAATTCCTAGACTTCTGGCAGATTTAAACATGAACTGTTTCTAAAGAAACAAACCCTCACCTCAAGCTTCACCTCAAGCTTCTTAGACTTCCCACAGTCCTAATAAGAATGAGTTTACAATATCAGAAAAACATGAAGAATCTAGGCACCATTAACAATAAAGAGAATTACCCCTCCCCTCCATTCAGATGTAGCAGTATGTTTAATGTGTTTCAAGAAATAAGTAACAAGACATGAATATAGAATAACAGATTATTAAGAGAACTAGAACTTCTAGGAATTGAAAAAAATAATTACTGAAATAAAAAACTTAATGGATGGGTTAACCACAGTAGGCAACAGCTGAACAGACAAACAGTGATGTGGAAGGAAATCCTGAAGAAATCACACATAATAAATCACAGAAAGACAAAAAGATGAAATTAGAAGGGCAGGTTAAGTGTTCCACACAAAGAGCTAATGGGGGTTAGAGAATATAGAGTGGGGAAGAAGCAATATTCAAAGGTAACAGATGAAATTTTTTTAAAATAAAAAAAAAACAAAAAACAAAACCCTCACTAATCCTTAGATTCAGAAAGCACAATGAATTCCAAGTAGGACAAGTACATGGTAAAACTCTAGGACGTCAGCAATAAAAAGGAGATATTAAAAACAGCAAGAAGAAAAGATTTCCTACAAAAGAATAACGATGAGACTGAATGACTTCTTATCCAGCAGCCATGGAAACAGGACAATGAACTAACATCTCAGGGAGATCAAAACAACCGTCTAGGATTATATTCCTAGCATAACTGTTTTTTAAGAACAAGGACAAAAAATAAAGACATTAACAGAAACTGAAGGAATTTCTAAAGGATATATTTTATAGGAGGAAAGAAAATGATCCCAGAAGAGAGTTCTCAGATACAACAAAGAATGGGAAGCAAAGAAATCACTAAACATGATGGTAAATCAAAACAAGTATGGACCATATAGAACAGTGTCTAACTGTCCAATTAAAAAAGACAATGACAACATTAGCCCAAATCACATAAATTGAGTATATTAGTGTATGTAGGGGGTGTGATCAGCAGTGCTATTGAAGATAGTGTTATAAAGTTCTTGTATTATTCAAGATGAAGATAAAAGTTCTGATTAACTTTAGATTTCAAGTTATGATGCCCATTCAAGTTCCAAGTAATCACTGGAAATATAAACAGATGTAACTTCCACATAAGTAAAGGGTAGACAGGAAGTTGGGAGGTTGGGGTGAGAGAGGACAAGCTCAAGCTATCCAAAAGGAAGCAAAAATGTTAAACAAGGAAGCACAGAAAAATGAGACAAACAGCACAAATTAAGATGGTATAAAATAATAAGTAACAATAAATGTAAATTGACCAAATTTGCAGTTTTAAAGAAAAAGTCATACCAGATAAATACCGTATCACATGAGGCAGGGACAGTTCTATTAATATCAGACAAAACAGATTTTAAGGAAAAAAAAATTAGGAAAATGAGGATCATCATGTAATAAAACAACAAACTATATTAAAAAACTAAATCTGACAGACCTACATGGAGAAACTGTCAAAGCCACCATTACAGTGGAGGAGTTTAACACGCCTGTGTCATTAATCCATACAGGGTAGACCAAACTTGGTATCAGGTACATGTAAAGAAACCTCCAAGCAATCACAGAGACATGGGTAAGTAAGAACAATCTCAGCAGTACTGTTTGCACTGGCAAAAAAAGAGACACAGTAAAAATGTCTATAGGTGGGCAAAGAGATAAACTGTGGTATATTCGACCAGTTACTTTGATTAAAAATCTCTCATGGTTGGAGGCGAGCAGCAAAAAAGTACATACCATCTGTCATCTATGTAAGCTAAAATATACACAAAATGAGAGTATCTATATTGCATATAGATATATATACATGTAAACTATGAGGAAAATGGAGACTCACAGGGGGCTTTTGGTATAGTGGAATATTCTATTTTTTTAATACCTATGTAGTAGTACATGGTTACTCATCACATTATTCTTGACATCTTTTTCAAGGTATCAAATGTTTCACAAAAACTTTTTCTTAAATAAGAAGAAATTCTGCTCACAACTCTTCACCGGCAAATTTCCTTCCCACTTTGAGAAGACGACATTGTTGTGGTATACAGTGCAGCACTGTATGCATTAAAGATCACAATAACCAAGTAAGAGGTAATTATAAGGTTAAAATAAGTTCATGCTGTTACACGGGCCCCTGGGTGGCTCAGTCGGTAAGCGTCTGCCTTCGGCTCAGGTCATGGTCCCGGGTCCTGGGATCGAGCCCCTCGTTGGGCTCCCTGCTCCGCGGGGCGTCTGCCTTTCCTTCTCCCTTTGTCCCCCCACCTCATGTGCTCACTCTAATGGATAAATAATATCTTTACAAAAAATCTTAAAAAAAAGTTCATGCTGTTACAAACTCACACTAACAAACTGATGCTGGTATATAAAACAGATCAAAGAGGAGCCAGTGAATTGAAGACAGATGAGAGGGTCAAAGGGTTCAGCATCCCCTGGCCTTGCCTACTTAGAAAAAGTAACAAACATAAAACACTAAGGGAAGAAAAAGGTTTAACTTAAAATCTAGAAAACCTGACAGAAATCACATGTGTATGTATTCTGCTACTAAAACCTTTTTTTTTTTAAGATTTTATTTATTTATTCATGAGAGACAGAGAGAGAGAGAGAGAGAGAGAGAAAGAGGCAGAGGGAGAAGCAGGCTCCCAAGGAGCAGGGAGCCCGATGTGGGACCTGATCCCAGGACCCTGGGATCATGACCTGAGCCGAAGGCAGACGCTTAACAACTGAGCCACCCAGGCGCCCTACTAAAACATTTCTTAATGACTGTAAATACTAATCAACTATTTCTTACCTACTGTTGGGTTATTATTTACATACTGAGAGAGCAGATCTTCGTCAGCTTGTTCATGCTTTTCATCAGAAGCCAAGTCTTTCTTAGAGAAGCTGTTGTTCTTTTTTAAAAGAGCTGTTTTACTTTCAGGTTGATCTGAAACTGGAATTTCCACTGGCTGGTAGTTAGCATGGATATATGGCTCTTCAGGAAGCATATAACCTTTACTAAAACACTCTAGCAACCACTTTGCTCCCACTGCATGAGGCCTACAAAAATAGTACATAATTATATATTAGTTTAAACCATAAAGACCATCATCTCACTTGCCATGCAGGTTCCATAATTGCATGGATATGCAATTTTAAGAAAAATCATTACAGAGTAAAAATTGCTTTAAATTAAAAACCGACAAAACCTGTGGGCCGATTTATCCCAAAACTGCTTCAATTCATCATCATAATCTCCCACAATAACATGAGTTACATCTTCATTGAGCTGATTAAAACGAACTCCACCTCCACTGTTAATAAGCCTTCTCAGTTTATCTAGCTTTCTGCCACTAAAACCGCAAAGATAGATCTGCAAAGAAAGAAAATATTTACTTTAGATTAATGCATTTAAGATGGTTTGTTTCTCAACAGAAACACATTAAAAATAAATATCTAAATGCATTGTGTGTAATTAAGACAGCTCTGTGTACATTTAAAATATATTAAGAATCGAGTATATTCTGAAATTGTTTTTTTTTTTAACAATTCTGACATTTTTTTAAAAAAGATTTTTTAAATTCATTTGAGGGAGAGCGGGAACGAGGAGAGCAGGAGCTGGGGAGAAGCAGACTCCCTGCTGAGCAGGGAGCCCAACATGGGGCTCAATCCCAGGACCCCGGGATCATGACCTGAGCCAAAGGCAGATGCTTACCTCACTGAACCACCCAGGCGCCCCAATAATTCTGAAATTTTTATTTTTTATTACTTCTTCACAGTCCCATAGCATTATTATCCACAGTAGACACCTGGTAAGTACTGTGAGGCTTTAATAAAATAGAAGCTAGAATTCAGTTATCTTCTGGATACTAGTGCATAGCCATGTCTAAAATGCAGGTAGCTTCTTAAATTCTAAAGATCTTACTACTTGTAAATTTAAATTATAGAAACAAACTAGAGTTTACATATCTGAACTCAGAAAACTTGGGTTTAAATTTTGGTTCAGAGGCCAATAATTAACTACATGACCATGATAAGTTACTTAGGCTCTTTAAACCAATTTTCTTACCTATAAATTGAGATACCTTTTACACAGGTGATTACACAAAAAAATTTAAGTCGAGCTGAGGACAGTACTTTGAAGATAATACACGTGCAATAATTTATTTTTAATTATCAGTATGCATGTATTTAAACTAATTTAATAAATATAAAAAGCCTCCCATCTGTATTTTCCATTTTAAAAAAATTTCTTAAGAATGGCAAATCCAGGGATGCCTGGGTGGTTCAGTCGGTTAAGTGTCTGCCTTCGGCTCAGATCATGATCTGAGTCCTGGGATCAAATCCCACGTCGGGCTCCTTGGTTGGCAGGGAAACTGCTTCTCCCTCTGCCTGCCGCTCCCCCTGCTTGTGCGTGCTCTCTCTGTCTGGCAAATAAATAAATAAAATCTTAAAAAAAAAAAAAAAAAGAAAAAAAGAATGGCAAATCTATTCCTAACTGCATTTATATCCCAAACTAAATAACCTCTCTTATTATAAGATACTGTAACAAAAACCAGGAATCATAAATAACTAAAAGTCAGGGGCATCTAGGTGGTACACTTGGTTAGGCGTCTAACTCTTGGTTTTGTCTCAGGTCATGATCTCAGGGTAGTGGGATTGAGCTCCATGTTGGGCTCCGTGCACAGCACAGAGTCGGCTTGAGATCCTTTCTCCTTCCCCCTCTGCCCCTCCCTCTTGCGCTGTCTCTCTCTCTCTCTAAAATAAATAAATCTTAAAAAAACAACTAAAAGTCATATCCATAATTAGTAGAGTCTAGGATAAAAGATTATATAAGACACTTTCTGTTCTGCCAATAAACTGATGTTTTACCAACTAATATATAGCCCATTCACTCTAAAAGTAGAAATATATTAAATAAGTATTCAGCTCTAGGAGATCTATAGCATATGATGTTTCCATCAAGGCACTTATAAGATAGTTTATTCATACACTAAAAAATTAAGTAGCCTAAGAGACATTAAACAAAGTCTCTTAGGTCTAATGGTTAGGAACACAGGATTTGGAGTAGATGGCTGTCTACTTAATGTCTGTGTGAATCTCAACAAGAATTTTAATCCACTAAGCCTCAGCCTCAGGGTAATAACCATTTTAGAGTTATCTGTGGGAATTAAATGAGAGTATATACAACATATTAACAATATATATGAATTGGTTACCACAGTCTAGGATATTAGAAACACTTAAAAAATGACAGTTATGGACAGATGTGGCCTAATGTTTGCATCTACTTAGCTAGAGTGAAGGGTTTATATGGATAAGGAACAAGCCCAACTCTGAGGGGTCTTCAAAGTCAGGCTAGGAAGTACTGATGTACATTATCACTGCATGTATTACATAATAAAGACATACCCGACAACCATCTAATAAATCTTCAGGTGCTTGAAATGCACTGACATCCAGATTTTCTAGATTTTCAAGTGTAGGCTCCACTTTACTATTAAGAACTGAATTACACATCGATTCATTTATGCAACTTGCACTGATGTTGGAAATATGGCTGACATCTGAAAGAGTACGACCTACATATCAAACAAAGATGTAGAAATTTATGGAGATAAAATTATGATTACCTATTTTCCTACAGCTTAATTTTTCTTATACACTAAGGGCTGTGAATAATTTCCAAAGTAAGCTTCAAATGTTTTTACTGAAATCTTGGTGGCCAGTTTTGAGAAGGGAAAATGAAACTAAGGTTCATATTTTAGTCAAATAAAAACATACTTAATACATTTTAATAGTGGCTTGCTTCCATTAAAAATCTGAAGTTGCTGGCTGTAGGGTCCAGGAAAGAAAAAAGTGTAACATCTGCTAAATTGCCAACATGGCACCTACGAAATAGAAATGGTTTTCAATTTTATATGAATACAGATGGTCTATAGTAATTGTAGCAAACTAATAAAAATGTATTACATTTGCCCACCAGTCAAGCTTGGAAAAATTCTTTTAAGTCTCTATTAGTATTCTCGATTTCTTTAATCATCTTTTGCAGTAAATCACCGTATGAAAGAAAATATACATCTGTTATAAAAAGAAATATCTAGAGTTCTGGACTGATCTTCATACAATTTAGTTATTACACAATTATGCCTGGAAGCATAGCAAGAAAGGATAAATTCCCTACTATATCTCACTGATCCGATTTACAAATCAATTCTTACAAAGAAAGCGGCATTAAAAACGACTGTTTACTTTAATCCCACTGAACTTACTATCAACTGTGTTGATCCGGCCAGTAGGAGTTGAAGTATCAGGCACAGTCTTTGTTTCTGGTCTAGGTTCTGTCTTGTATATGGATTCGTCCTGACAAAAACCTTTGTCAACACTGTCAAAAAACCACTGTGTGGTCACACAGTGTACATTCCATCTCTTGGCACATTCGTATTTCTGACCTATCATGTTCATTAGGAAAGAGAGAAATGTAAACCATTAAAATCCATCTCTGTAGAAATATTTGAAGTATGATAGGTTATGGGAAAAAACTCACCTCAACAAAATGAGTTACCAGTAATTATTCTTATACAAACTATGCTATATAGTGTATGTAAGGGGGTTTATCTCTTAAAATTGTGGAATTTATGTGGAATTCCTTTAAACCAGTTTCTTAATCTGTAACATGGGAATAACTCACAGAATTATGTGGCTTTAGTAAGACTGCATAAAACAACTGTGAAGATTGTAAATGTCTGCAATATAAAAAATACCAGCTTTGAACAGACTACTCTAATGTCAATAGGATTTGACTTGGAAGTCCAAATAGACAGGCATATTATAAGAAATAAATCTTTTTATTGCCTTAAAACAACTTTTAACACAATGTATTTAGAAACAGTGTCATAGAGAAACAGGTAAATACATAGTAAACATTAACATGAAAAGGATGTTTTTGGACATTTTTGAGAGCTAAGAGATGAACTGCCTTCAGATCCAGAGATTCAATAAGTTACCAACTCTACTCACAATTATAATATCATAATTGGCCATATGCAAAGTTCTGACTTAAGGACAGAACTAATTAATTTTAGTTTTTTCCCACTAATTTTGTTATCTAGGTAGCTTAATAAAACACAGTATAAGGAAATAACAAAAACATCAACAAAATTCTTCTCTCATCAGTTTGTATATATTTTAAGGGTATTGGTAAAGAAAAAAAATCTTCCAAAACAGGTATAAAGGTTACAAGACACCAAAATTAAACACAATTTTAAGGAATTATTCTTATTGATAATGTATTTTTCTTTTAACTGCCTCATTTCTGCAAGATGTATCTTCAAGTTACAACTTGTAGTTCATCCAATAAAGCTGATTCATTCAATTAAAAACTAAGTCAAGCTTTTAAAATTTATCATTAGAAAGAAATGTAATTTAACTACATCTATTAGACTTTTTATTATTCATCCAAATTTCTTGTTTCATAAGTATTTGGTAACTATGTAAGAAACCTTTTCTTTAAAAAAAAAATAAATAAAAATAAAAATCAAACAATAAAAACCACTGGAAATTGAAAAAAAATTTTTTCTATGATCTGGATAAACCTGGACAGTCATGTAATTTTTCTACAGATTATGAACCAAACTATCTTTGTAAGAATTTAGGGGGGAAAAATACCAGATTTATTAACACATCAAAAGCAAAAGCTATTCTGTAAAGATCTTAAAATGTTAAATACTAGAGAAAATTGTGCATTTTTTCCATTTGGGAAACATAGTTTTACCTTTTGGTTCTTGCACAATGAGGTGTGTACATTCATTCATTTTCAGCTGTCCCATGTATTGACCTCCATGCTTAACTGTGAGTTGCTGAACTGCCTTCCTGTCTAAGCTACACAAGCCAGTCACACAGATTATGCAACCAAGAAAAATAGGACACTTGAAGTCTTCCATGTTTACATCAGTATACCTAGCTATTTTTCTGGGGAAAATAAGTAACAAGGAAAAAATTAACATATTAATATACCAGAAGGTTTAAAATTTACCAGAAGAATAATGACAAACAACAGAAATCACTAATGCTTTCATTTTTTAGAAAAGGGGCACTGACACTCAAAATTACACTAACTGCTCATCTAGTTCAACCATGTCACTAGTAAAAGGTAGTATTTCAGACAGAGTTTCTCAAATAAAACTGTTTTAAGGGTTAACTCTTTGAGTTCATGCTGGTCAAAGTGGTGTATTTTCCAAAATTTTAAGTGTGAATTTACTTAAAAACTCAAATGGTTGCCTATTAGAAAAATGGCCTTTCTATCCTTCCATTATACTATATAAATAATAAGCAATGATTTTTGGCAGAATACCAACAAAAATATTCTTTTTCCATGTAAGGCAGATGTGCTAGGAATGAAGGTACCAACGTGGAGACAGGTTTAGGATGTGCTGGTGTTGATAGGAAGACTGGAAAAATGCCCATTTCTAAGGTCCACAAGGGCAGGGATGCTATCCTGATTTGCTCAGTATGCATGTCTAATGCCTACCTCAGGCCAGGTTCATAAAATAAACTTGATTAACATTTACTGAATGACCACATCTTGGTTAATGGCTGACATGTTTACATTTAACTTTACATGGACACCTTTGAGAGGGAATAGGACTATCAAAATGGTTAATTTACTCTCCATCTTAGCACAGTAGTGGAAAGATAATGCAACTTAAGAGCTACAGTTGCCGCAGTGATCTTCTCAACTATTTTACAAGAATTTACCGCTGAAAGCAATTTCTACTATCAAAGCATTTCTTACCTTGTAGCTAATATTAAATCAATAGCCTAATCTACCTATCAAATTATACCTTGATAAGAGCTTGCAGATTGTGCTTATTTTCAGTGAAGAGTAATAACCCCATCTTTTGTCCCTGAATAACAAATCCCAAGAGGACAACATAAAACTTCCCCTGTAATAACCCACAATATGCCAAAATGATTGAAAGTATTTTTTTTTCAAATCTAGACAACACATAAATGTCTTTCTTACTTCTCTTGTGACTTTTCCCAGAGTGTTTTAATCCAAGAAGGAAGCAAAATAGGTTTCTTTAGGTTTGCAGCAACTAAATATTTTTTGCTGCCAACTTCTCCTGCAATAAGGTGAGTTACTGATATATTAAGGTCTCTATATACACGTCCACCCATCATTTGTACATATTTATGAACTTCTTCCTGTAAACCCAAAGGAAAAAACATCAATACTAAAGCAAACAATATCTCTTCCATTTTTTAATACAAAAACTCAAATATCTTTTAAGATATTTGTTGTTGTTAGCTTGAAGGCACAAATGTTTCTCACTACTATAAAGTTAAATAATTGCTTTTTGGATAAAATATGAATTATAAATTTAAAAATAATTACTTTCATATATTATTTCCTATAGTTGTTTCTTCCAACTCCATAAATTTATTAACCTGTTGCTTCTAGAATATATTTAATATACTGTGCATATATATTAAAAATATAAATAGTATACATTATATATAAAAATATGTATTTTATCTCTTAGAAAGCATTATTGAAGCATTTCTTGCCTCTTAGCAAATGTTAAATCCACAGCCCATTCTACCTATCAACATTTTTTAAAATAATTTTTTTTAAAGATTTTATTAGAGAGAAAGAGGGAGGGAGTGTGGGCACAAGTGGGGGGAGAGGGAGAAGAAAACTCCCTGCTGAGCTCAGAGCCCAACGACCCCAGGACACTGAGATCACGACCTGATCCGAAGTGAGAAGCTTAACCAACTGAGCCACCCAGGCACCCCAACATTTTTTTAAAAAAGATTAACCATCTATAGTGGAAAAATGTGACTCAAACTCTAACTCATCAATTGCATAGGGGAAAAAGGGGAGTTTTCTTTCAAGTAGTCAGTTCTCAATAAAACAGATTCCATTATATTCATTAAAATAGAAAAGATATATATTGGTGTATACAGACTTTAAGTCATGAACAACAAGTACAAGGTCTTTCAAAGTGTCTCCTATGCAGTGAAAGATGAAGTGTGGAGGTAAATATATTGATCATGATATTCCTCTCAGCACCTACCCTTTTATCTTTTTCCAGGCTTGTACAAGATACAGTTACATCAGACATAACCATATTATAAACTGGATGTTCAGCTCTTGGGACGCATCGCTGGTGGTGCAAACAAAATATGACTACTTGAGGGCCAACAATTCTGCAGCCAAGCTACAAAAAAAGGGAAAAGTTTAGTATGTAGGAAAAGACCTCCTGCTTATAAAATTACATTTTGTAATATTTAGCAATTCTTTTTTTAAGATTTTATTTATTTGACAGAGAAAGAGAGGGAGAGAGAGAGAGCGCGCAAGCAGGGAGAGCGTCAGGTAGAGAGGGCAGGGAGAAGCAGGCTCCCCACTGAGCAGGGATCCCAATGTGGGGCTCGATCCCAGCACCCTGGGATCATGACCTGAGCCAAAGGTAAGACGCTTAACCGACTGAGCCAGCCAGGCGCCTCAATATTTATCAATTCTTTACAGAAGCTGATGACCACTGCAGAAAAATCACTAAATTGTTATAAGAAAAAATAAGGACCATTATATAATTTCTCAGAGACACTACACATTAACACACATGCAAATCAAACAATGCAGTCTATCAAAAGAAATAAGCTTCAAGAGCCACATTCAGTCACAACTGCCACCAAATTTTAATATCTGAAACAAACACAGTCTTAATGATAGGGTATAGGAATAACAGTCTTTTGCTCTAATTGGGAAAATCCATATATACTTTTTAAATGAAGTATCCAGTGAACCAAGCAGTTTAAAAGTTTAAGAGCCTAATTAACCCCTTCTAAAATATCTATTCTTCACACAAACACACAAAAATCCTAGGCAGTTTCTACACTTGTGTTTTAAATACTTTGTCTTCAACTCAATGTCTTTCCAAGTAAGTATTTCTCAAAGATATTATGGGTTATTAAAAAATATGACCTTTTATTTTTATTGATAGCTGAGTTAAGAAAAGTTGACAGTCTTGCTCAACATCAGCACATTCAGGCCAGATCTAGAAAGCGTATGGTTGCCAAAGTCACGAAGACATGACTGATTTAAAGATTTACGTGGTAAATAATTATTGTTATCTTTTTGTTCAGTCATAGGAAAATTTGAGTTTTTAATGCTATTGATTCTATCTGACAAGGAGTGTTATTTCCAAAAGGAGGGTAAGACCAACAATGCTTTTGGCAAAGGTGGGCACAGACCTTCCAAAAATTGTGCAGATACTGCATCTACCTATTCTTCTATGTTTTCTTCTCCTTCAAACAAGAATCACTTCTTTGTAATCTGGATGGAATTACAGCCAGTTTACTTTTATTTCAATGCTTCTCTCTTGTCCAGACACCAAAGAAGTAATGAGTCAGTAGACTCTGGAATCAACAAAAAGAAATAAGATGCCTCATTGGTATATTAGCAACACTCATCCCCAAAATGCTTCCTTTAGGCAAATGTTTCAGACCCTCTCTACAAGGTACAGGTACAAAAATTCTGCGTCCAAGAGCACATAGGAAAGACAATAAATAACCAGCGTTATGTTGAGATGTTTTCCAACTCTCTACTGAAACACTTGCAATCAAACTGAGTTTAAGTACGGTAGAACTCCGTCACTAAAATGTTTCATTACTATTCCATTCACTTAAGCTAAGTGAAGTTAAATCTCCTGAAATATAAAAATTATATATAACAAAAGCCTAGCATAACATGATTAGCCTTTAAAAATATAATTCTGGTCTCCCAAAACCAAAAGATTCCTCTATATTCATAATCTGTATAATACTTCATGGTCAGTAAAGAACTTATGTCCACTAAAGCAAAAACAAAACAAAAATCAGACCACAGAAGGAACACATGAAAAGTTAGCAAACCTTTTTGAGGTGATCAAAGACAACGCCACTAAAAGGGTCACAGATATAAAGTGACCTATCATTTTCCTTTATCTTCAATGCTTCTTCTTCTGTAATAATCTGAAGATATTCTTCTGATTGGAACTCTTTTATTGACTGAAAGAAAAAAAATGAAAGAACGCACCTAAAATTTTTCACCTGTAATTAAGTCCTATGAACTCTATCTTCAAAAATCCATCCCAATCCAATCTTTTCCATTGAAAGCTACCATCATCTCTCACCCAGACCTCCGCAGAAGTCTACAAAGTGGTTCCTTTTCCTTTCCTTGCCCTAAATCTATTCTCCCTACAGCAACTAGTAATCTCTTTAATGATACAAATCAGGTCATGAGTCTGGCCCCTGCCTATCTCCCCACTCTTACCTTCTACCTCTCATCTCCCCTGCTTACTATTCTCTAGCCACTCCTACTTTCTTGGTAGGCCTGGAACAAGCCAAGCATGAACTCACTAGAGGATCCACTCTTGTTCCCACTATGTGAAATATTCTCCCAGTCTTTACCTGACTTGATCCCTCACTTCAATCAGATTTGCTCAAATGAAAAAGGAAAAGTTAAGAGTCCTTACCACAGCCCTTAAAGCCCTTTACATTTACACTAATGTTGGATAGGCACTCCAAATACTTTCTCAGGGGTCTGTGTATGGCTGTTCTGTCTGAAAGCTTCTTCCCCAGACACCTACATGGCTAACCATCTCACCTCCTTCAAGTGTACTCAATTATCTTCTCCATAAAGCCTTCATCAATCACACTCTACTTAAGACTGTAACCTTCCCTTCTCCCCCAACAAACATCCTCTAGAACTCCTTAACCTATTTTGCTCTTTTCTCTTCCCATAGCACATAGCACCCTACAACATATTACAGTTTACTCATTTATCCTGTCTGATTTAGGTCTAGGTCCTCCTGCTAAAATAGAATGTAAACTCTGAGAAAGTATGGATCTTTGCCTGCTGTGCTCACTGATGTATCCCAAGTACTACAACAGTGCTTAACAGGTCATGACACTCAGTAATTATTTGCTGAATGAACTTCAAAGAAAAACCTGCTACAACAGTGCTTCTTAAACTTTAATATACACAGGAATTACACTGAGAATCTTGTTAAAATGCAGATTCTAACTGATCAGTCTGAGTTGGGCCCAAGGTTCTACATTTCCAACTCTACTGATGGGGTCTGTAAGTAGCAAGGATCTACGACACCCCCACATCTTCCCACATTACACTGTGCACAGTAAAACATACTGTGTACTACCAAAAAATGAAGTGTAACCAGAAATTTGAGACTCAAATTTCTTCAACATACAAAGGTCTACTCTGGTTAGTAGACATAGAAAGCAATGTAATTTCCAAGAATGGCAAGTCTGCTACTTTCAATAAAAATGTCATAATAGGACGCCTGGGTGGCTCAGTCACTTAAGTGTCTGCCTTTGGCTCAGGTCATGATCTCGGGGTCCTGGGATTGAGCCCCACATCAGGCTCTCTGCTCCATGGGGAGCCTACTTCTCCCTCTGCCTGCCGCTCCCCCTGCTTGTGCTCTCTCCTATCACTCTCTGTCAAATAAATAAAATCTTAAAAAAAGTAATAGATTTCATGTTCCCCGAAATAATCATGTATTTACATCAATCCAAAAATATGTAACACATCTATATTAATGTACACTACAATAAAACTAGTACGAAAATAAATTATTAAAACATAGAAAGTCCCAACAAATCATAAACACTAAAAACGAGAAAATGAATTCACAGCATCAAACAAGGCATTTTCAACTATTCTTACCTCAAGAGCTTTAAAAAAACATTCGGAATTGTCTGAAGACTTTAAAAACTTCACAAGAAACGGTTCCTTATCATTTCTGGACATTTTTGAACTGTCAAAATAAAGGAACCATTAACAAGGACAAAAACACATCATGTATGAAGTTAAATGTTAAAAGTAGGTATTTTTCCGTGCAGACAATGCCCAAAGATAGCCATTCTGGCCTTGCCCGTGAATTCGTTCATTAGTTTCTAAGAAACTCTGGAATGTGGGCAAAGTCAAGGAAAAACATGACAACACCAATCCTTGCAAATCAGAGAACGAAATTAATGTCCCTAAACTGACCACGTTCAGGGCCTTTGTTATGAGGCTCTGGACCCCTAAGCCAATGGGCATTCAATTGCACTTAGCTAAAGGATACACAGAATGAAACTGTCCAGGGCCCTTGACGTTTGTTCACCCCTCAGTAAACGGACTTTAATAGAGAAATGGAAGCCGGTTAGCAAGGTCATGCCCCCAGAGGCCGAAAGCTCTTGCTTGCCAGCTGCCACAGAAAGGCCGGGCTCTCGGTCCAACCGCAGCCACGTCCTCTCCGGCGTCAAAGTCCCAGTCGTCGGTCCGAGGGCCAGTTACACGGGCGGGAAACAAGGACCCCGAAGGCCGGGGGAGGTGTCGCCACCCCCCAACCGGGGTGGGGAGGGAGTTGGGTCCTCTCTCCGTGTCTCGCTCACCTCGGTGGAGCCTGGGGGGGGTCTTTGGGAGGCGAGTGGAGGGGCGCGCGGCCTGCAGGACCGTGGCTGGGGTCGGGCGCCAGCCCGGCGCACCTCCGCCGCAGCCGGCGGCGCCCCCGACCCGAAGCAAACGCCGAACCCGGAAATTGCCGAGGCGGAGAACCGACTTTCGCGCCAACCGCGCGGACGCGCCCGCCTCTTCCTGCGGAAGTGACGCCATCCGCAGCGTCGGGAGGAGGGCCGAGATGTCAAAGGTGGTGCTGGTGGCGGTGAGAGCGCCGTCACTGCCAGCTAGCTTAGGGGTTACCGGGGTTTAGGGCTTTGAAGTGGGTGCCTGGGTTCCGCTGGGAGTTGGCCAAGGGCTCACGGCTCAGGGGATGGGGCAGCAGGCCAGGAGTACCTTAGAGGAGGTCCTAACACATCGAAAAGTAAAGCCCCCGGGGAAAATTATGTTTCCTCCATCAGTATTTCACACCTGCCATATGCCAGGCAGTGCGTGAGAAACCATATATTATCGCCCCAAACAACTCTATGAGGAAATAGTAGTATCTCTGTTTTACAGATGTGAAAACGGAGGCTTCGATAAGTTAAATGATGTGAGGTCACACTTTAAGTGGTAGAATTAGAACTGAATCCAAGTCTTTTTGACCCCATAGACAGGGTCCTTTTCCCTCCAATGTAGCAGGAATGTGAGCACCACCTACCACAGCCAAATGGTCTGAGGGAAGAAAGATGTCAGGATGACTTGAATCACATAGCCAGTGCAAAAGATCTTTGTCAAGATCTTTAGTGGTCTCTGCCCCCCTTCAAAAGGCATCTCATTTTCTTTCTCCGTAACTCCCTGAGTGCTGGGGAGATTCTGGGGTGGAATCTAATATTCAAATGGCAATGTTCAGGGAGAGAGGTGTTAGATGGGCCTGCAGAATTTTGGCTTGTTGATAACCAGTGACACACTGCTTAGCTGGTGTTTCTTATTTTATTCCTCACTCTTGAGATTGAGAAGCTCATGACTTTGGATTGAGTAATGCGAGAGTTTTGTTTTTCTGTTTAGTGCCTACGGATGGGTCTACGTGTGTAAATACACCCGTGGTAGGTGAGTCAGAATCAGTAACCCTGGGGCTCAAAGGTAAAGGCCATCGTTGGGGAGAGGGTGAGGAGAGTCTTCAAAATGAAGCAAAGTTACTAGAGTTGTAAAGAAAAAAACAAAACAAAAAAACCCACAAAAAAAAAAAAACAAGAAGGAGGACAGCTATCACCACTATAGCTTATTGTAAGGAGCAAATCTGTCATGAAGCTGTGGTGATAATTAGTGTTTGTGGGGTTCTTTACAGGCAAGAAAGGACTCCTGCTCGCACTATTCCCGTTTACTCTCCTCAGCAATCCTCTAGGATGTGGGCATCATTATCCCCTGTTGTGTAGATGGGGAAAGTGAGGCCCAGGGCCACACAGCCAGGGAGTGGCTGCACCTGGGCTTGAGAAGAGGCGGTGTGACTGGAAACCCCTTGCCCTTCCTGACGCACCACCTTACTCCTTGTCATATGCTGCCTGCCCTTCTCTGCACCAGGAGGCAGGAGCCTACTTCTGACACTTCTGGGCCAAGTGGAGGCTTCACTATAGGAGGAGAGTCATAGATGCTCTAACGAAGAGGAGGGGGAAAATGAACTGGACCTTTTAGCTTTCAGCCAGCTGATTTTAATAGCAGAGGAGTCGATCTTGTCTTTAGAATAGACCAGGTGACAAGTTCTCCCATCTGTATCTACATAGGCGGGGAGGGTCTGTATCTGTTCCTGAAGTACCTAATTTTGGAAAACAGAGCAGTGTTTCTCAATCTAGTGTAGTGCCTGGACCGGCTGCATCAGCATCAACTAGGAATTTGTTGGAAATGAAAATTCTTGGGCCTAATCTCAGACCTGCTGAGTCAGGAACTCTGCATGTGGGTCGTGGCATTCTATTTTAATAAGCCCTCCAGCTGATTCTGAGGCACACAAAAGCTTGCCTGAACAGCATCTCCGAGGAAAGGATGAAAGTGGTGATATGGGTTGTGGTCCATGAAGGTTTTGGTGAAAATGGGGAATGGCTGTGATTTCCCCTGCAGGCAGTTGCCTCAGAAGATGGGGTTCAGAATTAACCTTCCCTTCACTTCTCTGGCATTTAGGGTCAACTTCTTGTTTCTTTGGCACTTCTGTCATCTACAGTCAGACACTCCAAACTCTGCTTGGAGTAGGATTAAAGGGAACTTGATATTTAACTGTTTGTAGAATGAAATAACACAAGAAACAAATATGACAAAATAGTTATTTTAAAATATGGTTGGAGGGAATATGATTATTTCTTGTTATATTTTGCTACCTAGATAAGATTTCTGAAAATGAAAAATGAACTAAAAGTATGTATTTCTTTTGATAGCGTTTTATATTTAAGTTTCTAGTGCCATAAATGGATAAATGTAGGGATTATAACTTAAGAATGAGATTAGTGGGACACCTGAGTGGCTTAGTTTGTTAAGCATCTGCCTTCAGCGCAGGTCATGATCCCAGGATCCTGGGATCAGAGCCCCGCATTGGGCTCCTTGCTCAGCGGGGAGCCTGCTTCTCCCCCTGCCTGCCACTTCCCCTACTTGTACTCTCTCTCTCTCTCTGATAAATAAAGTATTTTTTAAAAATGAGATTAGTAAATGATCTTTATTGCTGCAGAAATCATCTTTGCAATGGCAAAACATTTGCTTAAATTGTTGTATTAGGTAACCTACAAAGTAAAGCATAAGCATATTGAGTCTACCGAGGTGCAGGGAAAAGGAGATAAAATGGAATGTTAGTGGCACGTGTTGCTACTGGCTGCATTTAATTAGGTACTATAAGAAAGAGACAAACTCAGAGAAGAATTGGCTTGTTTGTATGCAAAAAATAAAAGGGTTTTGCAAGGTTAGAAAGGCTGCTTATATCCAGGCCCTAAAAACAAGAGATAAACCTGAGAGAGGTTTTGCACAACAAATGTCCATTACAACCTATCCATGTGGGAAAGATCTAGTTGAGAATATGGTTGTTCCACCCAAGCTGGCTAGGCACCATTAACAGAGAGAGAGAGAGAAGAAGAGAGAGAGAGAGATGTGTCGCCAAGATAACAATCAGGCTTGAAAATTAGTCTAGGGGAGAACTGTGTGTGTGGCTACTACTGTAGAGAGAGCTCTGCCATGACTTCCTGGCAAGCTTGCACATATGCATATAGGGAAGGGTTTGGAATTGCAGCATATTTGATGGTGCCTCATCCAAACACCTTGTGATCCTGCTGGAACATGAGAGGATGGGAGGGCTCCAAGGAGCTGCTAGCTCAGAGGCCACGTCCCACTTGTCTTGCCTCCCTGAGCTGGCTGTGATTAGATAGTTCCCCATGGCCTCCCAGATTCCAGTGATGTATGGGGCTTTCTGCCCCATCCCCTCAGAAGAGAACTACTTGGCTGCTGTCTAGATTTGGATCCTTGGTGATGGGATTCCCCACAACTCAGGTTGCGGTCCTCAGCCCTTTTGTTTCAGTGTCATCCCTTTTGGTGTATGGGACGAGGACCTGGGGAGCTGGCACCTTTGGCTTATTCTTTTTTACTATCTGTGAAAGTAACAAATGATCTAAAAGTGTCTCATGTATCTTCACCAGGCTAATCAGTCAGGCCTTCCCCTTGCCCGGTGTGCGTGAGGTTGATGACTAACACATGAAAGTGATTGGAAGCAAATAGACGTGAAGGATACTAAGGTTTTGAGATAATTGTTTTGTGAAGGCAGCCAGAAGCCTGGAGCAATCAAACTTTGACACAGTCTTCAAGCTTGCACAATAGGAAATGGGTGAAAGGTCATACAGCCCCCAAGGAGAACAAACTCCTCAATACCCAATCCAGATGTAGCTAGAGAAGATAATGGAGAAGAAAGACCCTCCCGGAGGGAGATGCCAAAGACCTTGGAGTGTAATGAACCAAAAATCTACTTTCAGGGAGCAGAATCTGAATCTAATCAGGCAGAGGAACCACCTAATACCTGCCTGGTAGGACTTCAAAGTTGATACTGACTAGCAACAGATATGGGTTTCTACTCCTCCCCTTTATGAAAGGGAGTTTTATTATAGTTATTCTGTTCCTGCTCCACCATTGCATATCAGGTATGTGAATGGGCAGGGGTGAGGAGGGGGAAGCAACTTGTCTTTTTAGTCCATATGTCACTAGACCATAGAGCAGATTCTGACAGAGACTATAGCCGACCTTTAGTGTTCCAGACATATCCCTTCAATGCTTAAGCACACTGGCAAACTTCCAATTGCCCGCATCTGTCTTTCTTTGCATAAAAGCATTCTCTGATGTCAGGAGTCTGAATTACCACCTACACAGTAGGCTAGAGGGCGAGATTATGACCCATGACTGACAGGTATACACAGACTCTTGTTTGCAAGCTTCTTTTAAATATTTATTTATTTATTTATTTATTTATTTGAGAGAGAGAGAGAGAGAGAGAGAGAAACAGCATGGGAGGGGATAGGGTCAGAGGGAGAAGCAGGCTCCCCGCTGAGCAGGGAGCCCAATGTGGGATTCGATCCCAGGACTCTGGGATCATGACCTGAGCCGAAGGCAGTCACTTAACCAACTGAGCCACCCAGGCGCCCTTGTTTGCAAGCTTCTTTTTTTTTTTTTTTTTAAGATTTTATTTGTTTATTTGAGAGAGAGAATGAGATAGAGAGACAGCATGAGAGGGGAGAGGGTCAGAGGGAGAAGCAGACTCCCTGCCGAGCAGGGAGCCCGATGCGGGACCCGATCCCGGGACTCCAGGATCATGACCTGAGCCGAAGGCAGTCGCTTAACCAACTGAGCCACCCAGGCGCCCTGCAAGCTTCTTGATTCGGATTCTCTACCCTGGTTCCCAGAGGTAACTGACTTGTTAGTAGGAGCTTTGGATGCTTTCTTTTCCCTGTCCCACTTTCTCATTCTCTTACCTGTGTTTCTTTACTTACCAAATAAGACACTTGCAAAGTCTTATTTAAGAGGCTGTTTTCTGGGGGAACTCAGACTGAGACAAAAGTTGCAAGAAGTGTGTTTCCCTTTCATAGTGTGTGTTGTTGCTGGGAAGTTGTCTGGTGAGGGATTGCAGTTCCCATCCTCTTTGCATCTAGG